CAAAAGTTGGTTACATTTGTTACGGCTGGATGCTAAAAGACGGCAATGAACGTCACTTACTCCTGATGTGGATTATATGCTACGTAGCAATGTACTGCAAGGGTGACTCTAGGCTTAAAGTTACAGACTGTGCATTTGTAGCTGAGCTGAGTGCATTGTCAGCTTTCGGTTATTGGATTAACAATTGCACATCAACCGGAGAAGCAGCTTTCTAGCTCGAACCCAGCAGCGCCTTCAAGATAATTTTGCAGCTTTTGTCATGTTCCCTTGTTACTTGATCTGCGGGCTGTAGTTTGCATCAACCCCTGGTAAGGCAACAGTTGTCGAGTAATCCTCTAGTCAAACATCTGCAGCAGAATTACAAAGAAACTATTTCGTTTGGGATGCGTGGTCTGCTCCATGCGTCTCTTCCACCAAACAGTTCGGTGTCACGGCTAGTGCGGTGTTCTACTGCTGTTGCGGAGCAAAACAGTGTTTTAACTTCTCATTCCTTCGATTATTCAACGCTGCGTGCACCGATTTTGGAATCAGTGATAATGTTATAATTAACGCGGTGATGTACAGCATTGTAATGTAAGTTGGTTTTGACAAGATGGATAGGCATGCCACATGCCACTGCACCAAAGAACGCGATAGGTCCGCGAATAATTTCGATGGCGCAGATGGGCATTGGGTGTTGCTTGCCTGAAAACACCGCACCCATGATCGGTTTCGAACCCGGGACTTTTAAGACATCAACCGAATCAATTATCCCTAATCCACCGACAGAGGGTATTGTGATCCGTACACAGGAATACTTAAAAGTTACCATCCGACCAGTCACAAGCCGTTTTGCCGTGTTACCCGTCGTGACCCAATCCCAACGAACATTCCAGTGGTCCCGGTTTGGAGGCATGCACTATCTACCTGGTGATATTAAATAAAGTCATAATGCGTCGTAGAGTGCAGTGTTTTCAGGCGGGCAACACTCACTGTCTATCTGCTTCATCACCTACAGTCCCAGTGATCGAATTAGCGAAAGTCCACTTAAATGGGAATCGCGGTTATGCTGACTGCGCATCGCAATCCACTCAATCGAGTGCTTCAAGCGTCGATGGACTTTGTCAAATTGGGAGGCTGCACGTTTCTTTAAGTTCCAACAGTGCACAGGATTTTAATGGTACAATATCTGCGCGATTATTAATCGAACAACGGAACAATGGTGTATTACGGACAAAAGAGATTTTGCTTCATAAGCCTAAGCAATGAGAGCCATAAAAGTGGAGAAAAGAAAACATGGCTATAGTGGACTCACAATAGTGTGTTCGCCTTGAAGGATGCGTGAAAGAGCACACTTCGACGTTACAGCGACGTGCTGGTTGTTGTACAGTTTGTTAGGTTATATCGTGTCTCTATTTAGACAGGCCATATTTCGCAATATATTTTATGACAACCTCAGGATGTTTTTAACACAACTAAATTGAGGCGATCAGACGTAATTACGTTGGACATTCCATGGCTGGCACACAGGAATAGAGAAAGGTTTCGACAACATTTTAGTCCTCTTTGTTGAGTGGCCAAATTGAAATAATGGCCTTGCATTTTCTTGTTGTGACTAAGTTGTGATAGGTGGCGCAGACACAGTTGAAAATCCTCAGAATCGAATAGATCATTATTCGTTCACCATATAGGCTCCGTTACTGACCGATGTGTACTTTTGGGGTTCTCGTCAAAAGTTGATATGGAAGGATGAACAATTCTACGACGTGCTTGTTGACTCTGAGCTGTGAGATTTGAAGCGGTGTGAAATCTTGCTTGCATGGATTACATGTTCCACGTGAGGCCGGAAGACAGATTAAACTGCCCAGAATGCCCTCCGCAGCATACCGATGTGTTGGTTTCCGGTCTTTGACGGCTCCTTAGATCGCTCTGAGCAGTCCAGATCAGCGTGTATTATTAACCCTAAATCGTCTTCTTGGGTGACTGCTTGCAGGTCATGGCCTCCAAGCTTGTATATGGTAATGACGGATATGGATCAGCTTAAATTTGGACGAATTACACTCCAGCAGATTTTGGAATGATAACTAACCTTCAATGTCAATGTCTCGTTGACGCGCATCATGATACCTTTACTCAGCGATCGCTCGCCACATCTTAACATCACCAGCGAAATGCAAGAAATAAGAGGCAATCTGATGCGCAAGCTAGTTAGTGAACACGGAAAACATACGAGGTCCCGACACTGATCCATCTGGAACTCCACATTCGACATGAAATGGATCGGACAGCGCACTTCGAGCTCTAACGTGCAGCTATAGATGAGCAAGAAATTCTTGATTCACCCTAGGATAGGACCCACAGTCTTGTATTTTTCCAGCCAGTGAAGTAGAATGCGGTGGTCCAGGCGGTCGAAGGTGTTGGAAATGTCGTGGCTTCGGTCCCTGTCCCTTTGTCAGTCGCTTCGGTTCAGCTATCGCGTCCAATTAATAGGTTGGTTGAGTATAATCGGTGTTAACGGAAGCCGTGTAGCTTTCATGCTATGATGTTACAGTGTTCAATATGGTCCACCAAAGAATTAACTATGATTGCCGCATTTACCTCTGACATTACAGACAAGAGTACCATTGGGCGATAGTTTGCGGGTTCCTAGGGCGTGTCACTTTTAAAAACGCGTGGTTACTCCAATTTCCACATGGTAGGCGACGTTTGTCCATCCAAGCAATTTGAAGGAAATGCGCTGATAAATCCCCTAGAGCTGTTGTTGCTACGTTCAGCTCCTTCTGGTGAATGTCGTCGATTCCGGGAAAACTATAGGTACGCAGTAAGAGCCGTTTCCTCTCACAGATGTGGCGGTACATGCGATGTTAGTAATCCCTGAAATCAGCACTTTGGATGTGGGTATGTAACACTGGTAGATATCTCGTTGGAATGTAAGGAGTAACAGCATCCGTAACGCATTAATTACATCTTCGGCGCCATATGTCACTCAGGCCATCATGTCAAGGGGGTTGTATCAACGATACAAAGCCTACACTTAGTACGTCGTACGAAACCTAAACTAGAAACCACGAACAAATAAACCTAGAGTTAACGCACGGTCTGGGCAGAAGAATAAAATGAATTATCCTGTAACTGTAGTACTATAAGACATACTAAATACAATACATGACTTACGAATAGGTTTGCAATCGTAGTGGAGGGAAAAATTCTAGAGTGCGGTAGCGTACGAGTATTTGGGCAGTGTCACAATAACAGAATAATATGGATGATTTTGAAACCTCAAGGATATGTCAGTGATCGAGAGTGAAAGGAATACATGTACAATATGGTAACCGATTGTAGCACACAGTAAAGCAATGTAAAATGAGCAGAATAATTAAGGAATAGAGATACCCTGTCCTCAAGTAAACAATACAGCTTGGGGACAGATCAAAGTCCATTTGGACTTTACATGGGTGATACGATGTCCCACTTTGTGAATACTCTTCACATGTTTGTATAATAGTTTGTTTTTCAGGTAACTTTACAAATCAAATATTTGTGTTGACTCATTTTATCATCACCGTCAAGCGATTTTAAATTATATTACTCGCGAGTAGCAGCCTTTTAGTTGTAATTCTGATAAGGCTTTCATCCTAATAGTTCACAAGCTACATAACAGAACCTAGTCCGGAAAACACCAGACGCGTTTCGCCCAATGGGGCTTGTCAGTAGTGCGCATTCCCTCGGTCCTCTAAGGAGGATCGAACCCATGACCATTAGAGGCAGATGCCAACTAGCCAGCAGCTTAAGCCACTGAGCCATGGGGGACGTTGGCTGGGCTACATAATTTACAAGCTAACTGTGTTATAACACCACCTATCTTCCACTGTCACTGACAGTGGTGAGGTGATGACTTCCTCTCGCACCACTGACGAGTCCTAATAGGACGAAACGCGTCTGGTGCTTTTCGGGACTAGGCTCTGCTATGTAGCTTGTAAACTATTGGGATGAAAGCCTTATCAGAATCTAAATAATTTGCTCCTAGTCACGTAGCCTTTCCAGGTTACGGGACCAGGGTGGTTCTGTGAACTTGAGGAGCGGCATTCGTTTGTGACGTTTTTCAGTTTTACCTCTGATGTGGGTCTATGTATTATTGAAGCGAATCCGCTTGGTTGCTTAAGCGGTTACGATCAACAAAAAAACTTAACCCAGACGCTCTCGGGAATCCACCTTTCAAGAAGTTCCAATCGGTGATAACAACTAAATCTGTCAGGGTGTTGTTGCTTGGTGATTATAAAGCGCATTCAGAAATACCGTAGTGTCACGTCGCATTGTTGCTGAAGTATGGAGTTGCCAACATATCGCTTGTTTGTTCTCAATGTTACAACATGTATAGTTATCATATTTCCGATAATCCATCCACCAGTGGCGCAGAAGAAATATCTGACCATCGTTTGATGCTGTTTAGATGGACAGAGGTTTTTGTTGTGCAGCGTAAATATCACCGTCCTCTTGTTCTAAGGCAAATAGACTTATTCATCCCATTTAACTTGCACACCGAAAAGTTCCATGCTTTTCTGATTAGACTGATGGACTTCATTCTCATCATCGGCCGTAATCTATGTAGCACGTGACGCCCGGACGAGTTTTAGTTAAGATACACCAATAAACTTATGAAACGCTGAGCAAAATATTGCATTGAACACATCACATCGGTTATGTGTGTTAATCCATTTTCTCTCTTGTTTCATTCCTTTGTTATTTTGATTGCTTGCTACTGGAAATTCTGATCGTTTATAGAACTGTCAATTGAAACCGTCAATAAGTAATGGTACAACAGTAATGATAGTGCTCGAAGTAACCACTGAATATTTCTGGGATTAGTTCTGGAAATCCCTCAAGATGAATTCATTTACTCCCTCTGTATATGCTTTCAGAAGCTCCAACCCCACTTGTCGCTGTTTGGTGACAGTAACTCTAACCCCTCACCCCACGTTTCGCGTCCTCTTCAGCTTACCCTATTTTTGATATGTTCACAGTGCTCTCAAAATACCCATACCAACGATGGAATCAGTACTACAATGCAACCATCTTCCTCTCATCCGGTTGATCCCGCATCAACGCAGAGTGCGAAGACTTTCCGCAAGGTGGCCAACGGTCCCGTCACAATGGTTCCAGCGGCGTTCTTGCACCCTATGGGGACTATTTCAACTGCCGGTGCACAATGGATACCAGCCGTTTCATTCGCGCAACTTGTCAGCCACACAGGGGGAAGGCAAAATCGTCCATCTGTAGTTCAAAGTGAAACAATTCGACGCAAACGGGCATCTTGCATGCTTTGACTTTCACCCGGCGATAAATCAAAACACTTTGTGTAACCAGCCCTCTTCCCTCCTCTTCTCCCAAAATGATAGAAGCAACGCACACACGATTTCTTGAGCATCGTACATGCAAGCAAACGATTGCATTTATTGTCTCGCCTTCGGTATTTTTTACCAGTCAAAGCGAATTCGCATTTTCACAGGCAGATTATTGTCAGTAGGGCGGAACACTAGGTAACGAATGTTTTTCTCATCTTGACTCAGGACTTGCGTTTGTCAAACTGATTATTTATCGTTTCACGTCCACTAACCTGTTTGTTTTGTTCTCAATGAGGAAGCGTGTGCTTGGGCACCTTTATCAGCAGTATTGTAGGATATTTTTCTCAGTTGCAGCTGAAATTTATGGCGTTAAGTCATTCGCTAATGCTTGGCATATTTGGGCGCATCTCAAATATCCAATAAACCGGCTCATATCTATAATGCGTGCAGTGGTTCGCGATGAAGATAGCTGATTTTGCACTTGTTTACAATTTTTTAACAGTGCGTTTAGCGACAGAGCGACTGTATATGTTACGTCAACCCCGATGGACAGACTGCGTATGGCGGTGAGCAGTTTAAAACGCATTTTTATCATTCCCTTGTAGAAGGATATCACCGATGGTGGATAATCTTATGCTCCAGGTGCGTGTAAAATAAAAGAGAATAGAGTTGTTTCTTCATCTTTTGTTTAACCCTGGCCGAACATTTTGGAATAAGTTGTCCTCAGTGAATGTAGTAAAATACAGGATAATTCTTGTAGCTGAACTGTTAGTTTACTGTTGTAGTTTCAGTCTTGTTAGTATGATACACCAAAGTCACTTACAGCAAGGGAGACAACAGTAACAATGAATTGAAAGTTCGTCACGGAAGCCTCAAAATCGGACAGTCCTGCACATGCCCAGAAAAGCGTTAGACAGTTGTTTCGAATTGTTGGGTCCCACTAGTTTTGCGCATCCACCAGGACACGAATCCATGACCACTGTTTGTACTTTTCTGAGTATATGCGCTAACCACACAGTTGATTACATCCCAGAACCCCTGCTCATGAGTAACGATAATTAGCATAATCACAATGCAACAATTTAACGAAACCGGACTACTCAGGCTATAGAGGTAGGTAAACACTTATCTCACCAACCATTTTAGAAAGTCAGAAGCACTTTCTTCACTAACGCTCCCGCTATTAATTTCCTCCAATTTTATGAAATTTGGCGATACTTCAGATCGTTGCATCCCAGAAATTTTGCATTCCGTTTGGATGTAGTATCGGATAAGATGAAGGGTATTATAGATCATTAGCTTGTAAAAGGTAGCGCGCAGAAAACCACGAAGAAAAATGCCGACAACGCTGAACTGTGGCACTCAGTGAGCAAGAATGAGAATAGACAAAGAAGAATATTTTGCACCGTGACCATCTTACTAAAAAAACAGTTACTCGCGTGAACGTGACCATAATTTACTTACGGACCAAGAAACGACAGCTTGTCAGCGGGACCTTGAATGTACAACATATCATATGCTAGTTGTGGATCAGACAAGCTGATAACAGAACTCATCGCAGTAATTACGTGCTTTGAAGGACATGGTGTGGCTCTACAGAGTGACGGCAAACACATTGAACAAACAAGTATTTTGTAGTGTTGTGACGTAATCTTGCATAGTCCTACAGTCAAGACTACTCATACCGTTATGCAGGGGCGTGGAGCGTTGACTGTACTAAAAGTGTATACTGAACTGGTCGCGGACATTGTAGTGGAAATCGAGGAACTCGAGCTTCTGCTTTGGGTGCCATAGCACAAATCCCGCACCAGGCAAATGACTAAAACTAGCCTGCGAAAACGCTAAACAGTACAAAGAAAAACACACAGTTAGTGATAAAAAGTAGTGAAGCTCGGTCGGTTATCGGTTTTTCCATAGCTCATGAATTGACACAAGATATGAAGTGATGCACGATTAGCGCGATCACTACTAAGGTGCTTGTTAATGACTGAGCAACCGCTCCTGACCCCTACAACCAGCTCGATTAACGGCGTAGCACGTGGGCATTTTTGTTGGAACATTAGTTTGTCTCATGTACAAGACAAGACAGACAGTTCCGCAAGACAAATCTCTGCTCACAGTGAACCGCAGCTTATATATTTACCAAGCAACCAAACGCCCTGAAAACTAGTAATAAATCGTTAAGAAGTAGACAAGTTGAGACCAAAACCGCTGGGCTGCGCACTTGGACTGATGATTCTGTCAATTACTCTTAAGCGTCTTTTATGAAACCCCTCTCCGTACGCACGTGAATCGCATTTATTACGAGCGACATTTAGCAACTTACGGGATCTAGAAGATACTCTCTAAGCGAACCAAAATTAATAAATCCAGCTCTATGTCCACATTTTGCTAAAACATGCAATGAGCAGCAAGAAGGAAGTAGAATTCTGACCCGATTGCGTCACTTCAAAATGCGATTACGCGAATGGTGCAAGTCCATGATGTAACAATATTAAAGCATAAAGTCAGTAATGATTGAGAGGAATATGACGTAGATGCTTGGGGATAAATTGTAGAGCTCTACAATAAAAATGTTAACCGTGTCGGTGTCCCATACTATATCACAGCAAAGAACCAAATTTTTGAAAGTTACCATGGTTGTGCTCAACATGTTTATGGTGTTGAAACGTGACAGAAAATTGCGGGCAAAGCGACGTACGATTCAGACTATGCCGTACAGACCCAGCGTACTTGTAAGCCAGACTCTTTTGTCCGGACCTCAAATCAATCAAACTCGAAAACATCCATACCAAAGGTGTCAGCAGATCGGTACTAACGGCGCCGGTCTAACACAGCGAACCGAGACGCTAACGCGTCAACATATACAGTACTGCTGCACAAATGCTCGGAGGCTCTACTCGATACTGCACCATCGACAGGAAACCATGATTTGAGACACCGTAGCGGCTATCAAATGACATCTATATACAGGAATGGAGCGCAATATGCGGAATGCTCATCCGTCTCGCAGTGACAGTATTGCCGTCTACTGCCAATGTGGAATATCCTTTTATGGTGATACACAACGTTTCGCATTTGACACAAATGCTTCATCAGGCGAAGTGAATTATCTAAACATTGGCATTTTAAAATGCCAATGTTTAGATAATTCACTTCGCCTGATGAAGCATTTGTGTCAAATGCGAAACGTTGTGTATCACCATAAATACATTAACCGGTCGTTTACCAAGTTTTCTGAAATGATGACTTCCCGATCGGTTCCAAATATGTTCCAATATATGGAATATCCTTTTGTTTTTTACGATGTCCAAATTTGCCAGGTTCACCTAACGGATTGATATGGTAGATCTCAGGAGAAAAGGTACGATATTTTCCTTTTAACAGTTGCCAACAAGCGTCCGAAGTCTTCTACACATGTAGATGGTATTTTGTAATAAAGCTGTCCAACCTGTTGTTCTAAAGTGTACTCACAATGTATGGGGAGCTTTCAATGTACCAAAAATAATTTCCGTGTCCCCATGGGTTCTCTTTTGAATCGACATTTTTTGAATTCTTAGACGTGGCGACTTTGCGTAACGACACCGCGGTTTAAAAAAGCCCTCACTTCTGGACTGAATCCTGACTAAATGAGAGCTGATGGTTGTAAAAGTTTCATGTAAACATCCAGCAGGCATTATCGATCACTTAGCCCTAACATTTGGCTATATAGGTTACACCAACGTTATTTATAAAAGAAAAGAACCTCAACGGACTACTACTGACCATTCTAAGTTTCGTAAATAGCGACAATCGCTGAGTGGGACTTCCAGCTACACAGTTGGTCGAGAGACGCATGGAATGAATTAAACCGCAAATTCCACTGGGTCATATACTTGGAACCGATCTAGAATTCATGATTTCGGAGAGATTTATGGGCAATCGACAATTGTAGATAACCGGCTGTTCACAAACTCGGAAGTCAATTTGGTCATCAAGAAGCCTCCAAAATTATGCCAACAAGAACATTTCATCGGATTAACATCGGGGCCTAAAGTTGAACGTGTAAACGGATAACCAGGAGAGATGAGAATTTTACATAATATACGCTTAACTCATATAATAGCACATGGAAGAACTATCAACCAATTAAAAGCTACTGCACGTCGCTTACTAGGGTCGATAATTACTTTCGCCAAGAGGCTATGGTACTCACATTTTCAAGTAATACCAAACTGTTTTAACATTGAGTTCAAAGCCAAGGCGGTTAAGGAACGATTACTCAAGACTGAGAGCGACCCAAAGCCTACCGATGTGAATAGTACGAATACTCTATTCCTACGATTGACTCCATGACTAGAAAAACATCAGCTACTTCTCGACCTTCCGGATCAACGTATTTCACTCCCGAAGATCCAGAATTATATAGTGGGCGATCCCGTTCTGGAGTGCACAGGAGACTTTTGCATTCAGTGTTACATGAATCAGTAGGTTCGCAGCACTCTATCTGAGAGAATCATAGTCCAGTACAGCTTGGTACTCGGGACTCGCCTGTTCCTGGTCTACTATAAATGATCTCGCGTGTGTGCTATCTTCAATGTTCCGTATTTTCGCCGTTGATCTAATCATATGGTTTGATGTCACTGCACTGGAGGATCGCACAGCTCTACAAGCTTACTTAAGTAAATAAATAAACAAAATTCTATTCTCCAATATTTCGAGGCACGCCAAACCGTGCATAATTACAATTGAACAATCAATAGTGTTTCGTCAAGTTCAGGATAGATTGCACGCAGGAAGGTGATAATATATTCATCTTGTGAGAGTTAGCGCTGTATTGATAATGGAGGATTGAATATGATTAAAAATGATACGTAAACATGTGGGAGCGTATGCATATGAATTAGTGGTGTGTGGAGAAGGGAGGTTCGCTAATGTGATGCAAAGGGGTGACTTTGTTCGGTGGCGAGTCACATCCGCCACGTCGCAGTGTTATTAAGCAGACATCTGTGGCTTTTTATAGGGAGAACGCTTGCCAGGCGAAAGCCCAGCACTTCGTGGAACATACACATGACCCATTGAAAACATGATGCAGTTCAGTATACGCCCTTAGCCTACTGACAACTACCGGCTAGATCCACAATTTCTACAGCGAGCTTCTACTTAGTGACATTGGCTGTTGGAGGCGGACTGAAAAAGCGCCAAGTGAAGCAAATCAGCACTTCGGCCTCCTACGTGGGGCGTTCGGGAACTTCGACGCCTCAGTCTTTCTAAAAATGTTTGGCCCGTACATGAAGCCACATACAGATTAAACTATCCAAGCGTGCCAACCTTTGCAGAAGCGTCA